GGGGCAGAGGCTGGGGGAGGCGCGGGCGTCTGCAGCAGGCAGCAGTGAGGGAGCGAATGTGACAAGCGTTTGAAAAGGCAGAAGTGACAGAATTGGGTACCTGACCACCCAAGATGAGTGGAGGCGTCTCCCGAGGTGCCTGAGGTGGGGCCTGTCCCAAAAAGAGGGACCCCCAGAATGGAAATCAAAAGCGTTGAGGGCGTCTTTGCCTTTCTGTTCACTCTCGTCCTCCTGCACTGTTTTGTTTTCTCTTGTAGCCTAATTGACAGAAGAGGGTACGTCCAGCCCGACACGCCACAGCCGGCCGCACCCCCCAATGGGATGGCTGCATACGGGGCCACGCAGCCCCAGAGCGACATGGTACGAGCTGCCCGCAGTGGGGCCACAACTCCCTGCAAAGACTTCTCTTTCGCTTCTATATTCACTAACCCAGTAACGAACCGGGCCCACCTGGAAGGCTTCCCCGGCCACCCCCGCGTGAGGGGCTCAGCCCAGGGGAAGGCAGGTAGTGGCTGCAGAGTAACTGGTTTCTTAGGGGCTGCAAAGGGGAAGTGCCCACAAAATCTCTTCCAGAAACAGCTTTGTAGCACCCCGTGATGGAAAGTCCCCTTACACGGACCAGGGCGTTGTCCGGGGGGACGCTATACAGCTACCTGAAGCAGGGCTGGCTGGACAGTCCCCGTGTCCCATTCGGTCCCTTTGCCTCAATCTGTACTGACTCCCTTACCCCCTTTTTAAGTGCGCAGCGGATAGTGCTGCTGGTTCTCCCCTCAGCCAAAATCAAAGCTCAGCCATGCACACCTTAGTATGAATAAGCAGACAAGGTGGTTCATTCATTCACAGCAAAAACTGACTGGGCGCCTCTCCGCGGCGGGACCACACGTTGTGCTTCTGTGGTGTTATATACCAGGGCGGGCTTTGTTTCCAGTCTGCGATGAGTGATTCCATCTAGTATTCAGCTCATCTAGGAAATTTCTTTTGGCATTATTCTTTTTCATTCTAGAATTTTCATTTGGCTATTTTTATTTGTCTGCTGAATTGTAGTTCTCTGTTGAGACTTCTTATCTATTTACTCATTGAGACCATATTTTTCTATAATTATTTGAACATAATTATATTACTGATCAAAGTCTATCTGCTAAGAATATCTGGCCCGTCTTGGGTTTGGTGTCTGTTGACCACTTTTTTTCTTGACTCTGGATCACTTTTTCCTATTTGTTTGTATGTCTATTGACATTTTATGGAATACCGGATATTTTGGACGGTATATTATATAGACTCTGGATTTCAATGTCTCCTCCTGAAGAGTCTTGCCCTTGTTTTAGCAGGCAGTTCGATCACTAGCTAATCATCTTGAACTTTCAAGGGTCTCACGTTAGGGCATGACTCTTGCTCCTAAGGCCCCGTCCTCGTACTGCCCTCGCTGGATACCAGGACTGTTGACAAAGCCTTGGAGGTGTGAACGAGGTCCACGGCCCCCAGCACTGCTTGTTTCAACCTCTGCTATGTCTCTTCCTCTCCCAGCCCCATCGCAGCTGCTCTCGTGCCATCCCGCACATGCTCACCACGGCCTTTGGTTACAGACTTGTGGGGACCCCCACTAGGACTTCAGGTCCCCCTTCCCCCGCCCCCCGGCTCTCTGCAGCATTCTCTTCTCCAGTGCTCTGCCCTGTGATCCGAGCGTTTCAGCTTCCTCACGCTCGGGTCCCTGCTTTCCCCACTCAGCAGGACCGCTGTGCTCTGCGCAGACTCCAGCCTTCGTCATGGTTGGGACAGATGCGCCCCCAGGAAAGAGCTGGTTGGCTGTCGGGCTCGCCTTGTGCATGTCCCTTCTCTTGGGGATTGCGATCTTGCATCGTCTGTTGTGTACTATTGGAAACGTTTGCCTCGCATGTTTGGGGCAGTTTCATATACTTTCTTATCTACAAACGGAGTGCTAGTCTAACGTCTGTATCCATCGTTCCTGGGGCTGGAAGCCTGCCTCTGTGATTAGGGGACACGGCCAGCAGCCCACGTTGCCATATGCGCATGCGCACATTTTTTGTTACCCATTCTACCAACGGTAAATACCGAATTAGCCATGAGACGCGATTATTCGATTATTCGGGCCAGAGCCTGCCTCAAAGGAAGAATGCTGATAGACATTTAGATTTAGCACCAGACTGGGCGTATTCATCTGAAAGGAAAGGCTGGAGGGAAGATGTCTCTGGTTAAATTTTTGCCTATTCTTTTCTTTTAAGACCAGAAGCCAGGTCAGAGAGGTACTTCTAGGGAAATAGGCACTATTTCTAGGGAAATAGGCACTATTTTAGAAATTAGAGCTAAAGACTTAAGTCTTAGATAAACATACAGATAGTGCAATGCAGAAAAATTGGGTAAATATTGATAGATAGCAGGCACCGAAACATCCACTGAGGCCTTATTTGCTATCTTAAAATTGGGAAAATTCACAGTAATTTACCATCTCATGTAATTTGGAGATGGGGATGGTGATATGCTAAGTGATCTTCCTTGTACCACAGAGTCCCAAGGAAGAAGGGTTAGTGATGAAGCGACATCGAAAGCATTAAAATGGTGCGTGTAACCTCAGGACAGCCTTGCTCATCGGAACACCGGCGAAATTCTGAGGAACCACACGGCACATGTGCCGATAACCTCAGTGCCCGCTGAGGATTATATTTTCATTATTCCTATCTTCCTCATTATGGGGTTCGGTTATTACCTAACATGGAAGTTCTGTCTATGACAATATGTGTATGTAGTCGTGACATCCAAGGATGGTCCAGTTTTTAGGATGCGTATCTCATTTGATTGTCCGATGCTTTAAGTTCTGTATCGCACCAGATTGACAGTTTATGTTTAAAGCTGTCGCTTGTAGCTACAAAGATCCTTTGGGATCATGTGGTAAACACATAGTTGTTGAAATGTCTTTTTTTGTTGTTTTGGAAAATCATTTGCTGTATGTACTTAACCTAATTTGTTAAATCTCCCTTAATCCAATATCAAAACAAGACTAAACCTATTAAACTCGTATTTCAGAAGAACTCTCCATGCATAATCTGAGAAATCAAATAGAGTAGAACAAATAACTTAAGCAAACTTAGACGATAGTGTTAAATAAAAGAATAAAAAGAAAGCGCTCTTTCTAGCTTTCATTTTAGGTGGCTTCTGGAAGTTTGTAGTGTTTTAAAATGGGGGGCAGTCACAAGACCCCAGAACACAGCTTCACAGGCAGACAGAAATAAATTATGCCCGATGCGAATATTTTGACAGAAGTGGAACAACCTAAATAATTTCATTCATTCTTAATTTGTATAAAAACCACCTAAAAACTCCACATTTCGCTTTCAGCAGCATTTAATCTGTACCCGAGGGTCATTTCAGATAAGAAGTCAGCTAGAGTAAAAGGAAATGTATTCCAACATGAGCAATTTTATTTGAAAATCTGCAGAAACAAAAAGTAAATTATCTCTGGGGTGTTTTTAAACTGTAGCATTAAGTGATGATGTGTGTGACATCGAACATCTGAAGCCATAAACTTCTTTGCAAGTTAAATGCCAGCGCTTCATTTAGGCAATAAATCAGCAGCCGTCACGGTGACTTATTGTGACTACGGCCAACACTCCAGCACCCAGACAGAATTAGTTTTAAGCTGCCGACAGAAGGGTCTCTTCATAGACACTCTTACAAGCGATCAGGTTTCTGTTCTGTTAGTATTCGGCATTTGGATGATTTCCGACCTAAAAAAAAAAAAAAAAAAGGGGCAATTTCCTAGGGTTCAACTCTATATTTGATAAAGAGGAACTTTTATGGGTTGTTTTGGAACGAAAATAGGACTTTCTCAATTTCCTGTTCCTAGTAATGAATGAATTGTCATTATCCGATATCCTGGGGCTTGGTCATTTCTCCTTCAGATTCTAGAACTGGTTCGATAAATGAAAATACTCCCAACAGCTCTACGGTGTTAGGGCTGGAAGACACACCCCCGCCACCAAGATGTGAGGGACGAAGGGAGGGGCGACGTCTCCCTCTACTGGTTGAAGATAAGCGTCCTCAGAGGAAAAGGCGAGAGGGCTGTGAAAAAGGTGAAGGTGAGAGGAGAGAGAGAGGCGGGAAGGAAGAGAAGAAAAAGAGGAAAAGGAGGAAAACCAGAGAAAGAACGAGATGGACGGGGGAAGTGGGGGCGAAAATCGGTGGGACCAGAGAAAGAAGATGAAGTCGAAAAATCAACAAGAAACGGGCAACTAATAATTAGAAGCAAAGTTTAAAAAGGAAAAGGTATCAGAACACCTCTTCATGGGTCATCTCCACGGGAACCCTAAAATAATGGGCCATGTTCTCCCTCGAAGTTCTCACATGGGAGCTGCAGCCGTGAAGCTTTGTCCACCCGCCCTCCTTGGAATTTTGGCGTGTGCTAAATGAGGAAAAGCTCTGACCCTAAAAAAAAAAAAAAAATTCTCCTAATCACTGAATTTCTTCTAAGAAAGAGATGCTCAAAACATGCCAAGTTAATATTATAAGCTCTGAATTCCACTGGGCAGGGTCATTGCACTACCGTTGGTTGGAATCCAACAGGACCCATAGTTTCCCATTCAAGAGTCTACCATGAGCCAGTTACCTAACCAGTTACGTAGGAGCATTATATGGACGATATCCTCTGGAAGAAAGCCTGGTCCCTGAGTCCCCCCAGATGGGATTGGTCTTCTAAATGGATGTTGAAGGTAGCAAACTATTTTCGAAGCTATGGGAAATGAGCAGGATTTAGACACTTAGGTTCATGGTCCCAGTAATTGTGCTCAGTGATAGATAATTTTAATTAAATGTTTTAGGCAAAATTTTTCTTTCAGATTTTTAAGCCCTTCAGCTTTACTCCAGTAAACTGGAGTGCGTTTTCAACAGGGTCCTGGCCATGAGGCTGAGCACGGATTTGTGACCGTTTTAACGAGGTGTCATCTTGCCCACGAGAAAGGGCCAACAGGTGTGTGCAGGAGTGGGCCCAGGTTTGGAGGGGCCTGAGTCATGCAGTTGGGAGTCCTCTTTAGGAAAAAGAAAACAATATGCAAAACAAAACAAAAGCAAGGAACACGGCTTCGGAAGGGGTCGTTCAAGCAAGGGACCCCGAACTTAAGCATTGTAGCTTCAGAGTAAACCTGCCTCCAAGTCAGCACAATGACGTTTCAGTGTAGAGTCTCAGCTGGCTCTTCAAATTCCTCATGACCAGCCCAGTGAACTTGAGCTCTGAGGAACCCAACAGACCACTGTTTGCAGCCGCAACCTCCCAGAAGGTTCTGATGGGTTCCCAGAGGAGGAGTGGTCAGGGAAGAGGGGAGGGCAAGTGTTGGGGGAAGGGGCGGGAGACCGCGGAAGTCAGAGGGGGGCCACCTCTCTCCTCACCCTTGGGCCTCCTGACCTTGACAACCTCCTCCAGCTCTGCCGTCTAACATACTCCTCTCTGAGTCTTTACCGGGCGGTCTGTTTTGGGCTGGTCCCTAAAACAAAATTGGCCAATTCGTTTTCAATTTTTTTAAAAAAGGCTCTTTCTTCGGGTCAACGGAGACAAACAAATCTGACTTGCAGTTTCTTCTTCCCCTAGAGCTGGGGGTGTTGCGTGGACAGAAACATTAGGATGAGTGAGGGCTCCAGAAGGAACGATTGAGAACAGAAAGGCACCTGCCCTCTGCGGGGGCATCTCAGCCTTGGGGTCACTGGAGGGGTCCGCGCTGGGAAGCTGTACTGAGCTACAGGCAGTGCAGGAAGCTCCGCCAGCAAGGAGACTAAGTGCTGATTTTCCTAAAACGTTCTTTGCAAAGCACAGAATATCCAAGGCCTGGGGATAGTTTCCAGAAGATGAATGTTTAATCAGGAAGGTTGCTCTCGTCTGCCTCTGCCTATCAAGACGGAGCCGACGTGCAGAAACCTACTGGCAGTGTCGGAGAGCCAGCAAAACCTCCCAGCGACCAGAGCTGTCTGCAGCCTGACAGCACCCCGCCCCAAAGTGACCCCCTCCCCCAGCTGAAATTCCCTGGGGGAGGGGGTCACTTCGAGAGTGGAGGAAGCCGCTCAGTCGCCCAGTGGAAAAGCACCGCTGTGGCAAAGATGATTTGGGAAAACGACCACATTAAATGATTGTTAAGGCCTAACAGCCCCTCCCCAGCACTTTTTAAGGGCGGTTTCATCTCCAGGGAAGAGCCCTCCGCTCACTCCCCAGCCCTTCTCCACCCATCCCCAGCTCTGGGTGTTTTGAAGTTCCCTTGGCTGCAATGAAGCGATCGCAGAAAAGCCAGGATCTGCCCAGACGCTGGCTTTCCCTCTTTAAAGCTGCACCCTGAGTTTACTCTTGCCTGGAACCAAGGTCTTTGAACTTGTGACACCTATAAATTCCTTAGAGACTGCGGCTCTTCCACCTCTTCATGGAAGCTTGTGGGGGGCGGGATGCGTAGGGGTTGGGCTACCACTTGTGATTTTAGAAAGAGACCCATTTGGCTGAGGAACTGCGACTTGGGGTGAACCCTCCTCCCCGAAGGCTGAGTGTTCCAGTTAGGTTGCTTCTGTGCCTGGAGGCGGGTCAGTGACGCGGTTCTAGGTGCGTCTCTGGGCAGGAGGCGGGCGGGGAGCACCTCCATCGCAAAGCTATCAGGCCGAGCTTCTGCCGTAATTCCAGAGTTCCAAAAACAAAGAAGGAATAATAAGACAAGTAACATTTCTTAAGCACCTACTATGTGTCAGATGTGTAGTAGAAAGAGATTTGCAGTCGAGTAGTCTCAGCCCCCAAACCCGCATCCAGCCCTCACTTTTACCTGTAAGGCCTGTGAGCAGGCCACCCCCCTATCTAAGATCCGGGGTCTTCATTTGTAAAGAGGGGAAACGGCTTTGTCCTGAGAACTTCTGAAGAAACAGAGTGGCACTTCTGGCTAATTGCTTGAATGTCAAGTCACGATACACTCGCCCGATATCCGCACCCATTCTTCCTCCTTCCCACAGAAGAACGAGTCACTGCACAGACTCAAGTGTAAGGTCTCCGAGCGCCCCGAGATCTCTTCCGGCTGTTCTGAAACTTGCCCACAGCCCAAGGGAAGGGTTTACGAAGGTATCAGAGATCCACGTTCCACCGGCCAGAAATGTGTTTACGTTATTTCCTTTGGCCAGTGAGTAAAGTGAACCGAAGGACATGAGACGTGATGTGATTTAAAAACACTGAGAAGAAAAGGAAATCCCCCGTAAAGGATTGGCATTCTCTTTCACCGATTAAAAAAACCGCAGAAGCTCAATTAGTGTTTCTTGAACGAGGTGAAAATTTAGCAGTGGGGAATTCTAGGGCTTTCTGACCAGACTGATCAACCCCCAGGAGCTTCCGTTTCCCATGTATTTTTCTTTCTTTTTTTCATGATAAAATATACGTAGTATAAACTATGCCGTTTTAACCGTTTTTAAGTGTACAGTTTAGTGGCATCAAGTTCATGCAAATTATTATGCGGTCATCAATACCATCCACCCTACAGAACGCTTCTCATCTTGCAAAACCGGAACTCCATGCACTGAACACTAACTCCACATTTTCTCTCTTGGACCCTGGCAGACACCCCTCTGCTTTCTGTCCCTGTGAATTCGACTAAGCTAGGTACCTCGTAGAGGTGGAATCATGGAGCATTTGTCCTTTTGGGTCTGGCTGGTCTCACTTAGCACGATGTCCTCGGGGTTCATCCGTGTGGCAGCAGGTGTCAGAATGTCCTCCCTTTTTACAGCTCAGTGATAATCCGTTACTGTGTGGACCACGTTGCGTTTATCTGGTCATCGGTCAATGGACACTTGGCTTCCTTCCGCCTTTTGGCTCCCGTGAATAATGCTGCTGTGAACACGGCTGGACAGGCCCCTGTCATTTTAGAACGATGTAGTACAAGAGTTTTTCAGCAGACAAGAAACAGCTGCCTTGGATGGCTGCAGGTGGTAGAGCCCGCGGCATTGCTCTTCAGGGAGGTCCTGTCTGAGAACGAGGGCCAGGAGTACGGTAGCTTGAGGCCGTACGTTACTCCCTGGGCACCTGTGGGGACTGTGAGCTTGAGCCGGGGGTCGCCACATGAAACCAGGCTGCTGTGCACACTCTCTGCCCCCAGCCGACTGAGGCATCACTAACGGTTTCCCTCTCTCTCTCTCTCTCTCTTTCTCTCTCTCTCTCTCTCGCATCCCGCCCTGCCTCTGTCCCCGTGCCCCCTCCCCTCCTGACCCTGTGCCTGTGTGGTCTCGCCTTCTCTTTGCTGGCTTCCTCCTGCTCTCCAGTGTGACCAAGACCAGTGCATTCAGAGCACCAAATTCGTTTTGCAGGCCGCGGCCACGCCCCTGTTGCAGAGTGAGCCCAGCCTCACCAGCGACGAGCTGCACCTGCCCGGGAAGCCCGGCCTGGGCACGCCCTGTGCCAGCCTGACACTTGGGCAGCCCACGCCGCCCTCCTCCATGCCCAACCTCAGCACGGAGGCTGCGCTCACAGACATACTGCCCCTGAAGGAGGAGCATGTGGGCCACCAGTTCCTGACCCCAGAGGAAGCACCCTCGCCGCCTCGGCTGCTGGCGGGCAGCCCGCTGGCCCACAGCCGCACCGTGCACGTGCTAGGCCTGGCCAGCCAGGACTCCCTGCATGAGGACTCGGTGCGCGGCCTGGTGAAGCTCAGCTCCGTGTGACCACGTGGCCCGGCTGGGGACTGCAGGCCATGGAAGCGGGCAGAGGGGCTGCTCCCCACAGCATCTGCCTCATGCCCCTGTGCCATGGCGGCAAGGACAACTCCAGGTCCTGGACACAAGGACCACTGAGGGTGGAAGCGGCAGAGCCCAAACGCTTCCAGCTCCGTTTATTGGAATCGTCTGCCCCACCCCGACTGTGTCGATAACGAGTAACTGTTTTCAGACGTTTGGGATATGAAGGGTGGGCATGGGGACAGAGCCTGGGGTGGCTGCAGCCAGAGGCGGGGGGAAAGCTCAGTGCCTGGATGTCATACCGTCTGCTCGCTGCTTTTGTTGACAGATGACACGGAAGGTTTCTAAGACTAGAGGCCAGGCTGAAATTGCACTTAAATGTTATGCTACTAATATTTGAAATAGACATGCCATTCCATTTGTTAATTTTTTTTTTTTTAATATCTAAAGGGAAAAAAAAACGACCAGACGTGGATTTGCATGTCACCGGGGGCTGTTTACAGTGGTGTCGGTATTCAAAAGGAAGTGCCGCCTTCTTTCTTTCTTTCTTTTAATTTTGTGAATTTTCAAGTGCTGTTTTATGGGAAGAAAGTGCAAGAAACCAAGCCTCAAGGTCAGAGCCCTCACTCGCCAGCTTATTCAGCTTCATGATGCGCGGGGAGGCGGCGCCTGGGCGGCAGAGGGCTGCTGGGGTGTTGTGTGGAGAATCAGTTAACCTTCTGTTCAGTAGTTAGCCGAGATGTTGTGTTGTACCACACGCGCCACAGGCTTCACCACCTTGTGTGACCAAACTTCCTGTGGACAGCCAATAAAATGACGTCCTCTGTTATTTTGGACCTGTGTACAGTTATCCTTAACAGCTTCAGTGACAGCAAAGTCACCTGGAAGGCCTGCTGAGAGTTTGTTCTTATTGACGTATCCCTCGCGAGGAGTGGTTTCCCAAAAGGGGTCTGTATGGGATGATTTCTTAAATGGGAAAGTAGCTTTTCCATCGGCATTTTTCTTTTTAATCATCTCTTTTTGACGCAGTCTTAGTGGAATTTGCTGTTTACAGACTGCCAGGTGGCAGTTAACCCATGGCACGTAGGAGGGAGTGGGTGTGCCGTGGGGGTCACCTTCTCTGCTCTGCATTGTGTTCATGCAGCACCTACGCTTGGAAGGGTAACATGCGATCCTAGTTAAGATACCAAAAAACGAGGAGAAATCGGCTTACAGTGTGGGTGAGATCGTGTAGACCGAACTTCTTACCAAGACGCGAGTCAGAATGGCATTGAGAACATTGCCGCTTCCTCACGCGCATTTATCATCCAGACCGGAACTGGCTTCGTGCTTAGAGAGCAGGTCACTGTGGAGGCAGCTGCAGGGACTCAGCCGACTTCTGTCCTTGCTTCTCTCCACATGGTAAATCCAACAGCCAAATCGACTCAAGTCGAAAATCATGCTCGGGCTCCTCGCAACCCGAAAGACCAGATGATGCATCGATCAGTGACACAAGAAGCCCCAAACGATTTGCGTTTATGGAAAAAGGCTGTTTCCCCTGAGAAAGAGTTGCCATTTTATATAAAAGGAAAGGAGGCGGGGGAAAAAGCACAATTTCATGTCTTATTTGGAATAAAGCCAGTTCTTCGAAGGTCAAGAAATAATTTGTGCTGAAAGTAACCACAGAATTCTCGTATCATGGTGTCTCTGAACCATCTCTGTGTTTCACGCCGTCCATACAGATAGGACATCGGGAAGGTATATTACATGTAGTCGTTTTTATATCCTGGACCTCCTAATTACCTGCGCCCACTCGGAATTTATAATAAGGGGACAGAGCCCCTCCTTACACAACCACACACCCTCACACGCACGGTCACCAATGCACAGGGGTTCACTGTGCATTCACTGCCTGGGAACAAAACGCGACAGCCCCACAGTCTGCCTTCCACACCTTCCCAGGCTTCTCTGCCCTTTGCTTCCTTCCATCTCACCGGGAGAGGCCCTGGCTCAGCTCTCACACAGGTGTCTGTGGCCCCGCCTATCCCCAGCTCCTCCGCGTGGAACACAGACAATGGTTTCGGAGTCGTCATTCCTAACGTCCTCTGACTCGTGATTGCTGGTGGTGGCTGGGGACCCGTGACCAGCCCTTCTTCCCACCTCATTGTGAAAAAGTCCAAAAAGCAAGGATCATTATGCATTTGTCTTTACATGATGAATATTTACTTAATTTATTTTCAATTTATTATCAGTCTCCCAGCCACCCTCAGCCCTGTCCCCTGCACCCACTTGACATCATTTATCAAAGATGGGCTTGTGAATTCTGGTGAAGTCAAGGCTCTTTGAGATCCAAGAGGGAGATGAACGTGAACGAGCCAATTTGCTAAGACAATTAACTTCTTAAAACCCAAACCAGGGAGGTACCTACAGCCCTTTACTCGGGTGGCTCAGAAAAGAAGGGACAGTCTATAGAATCGTTCATGCCCTTCTTCCAACTGGATAGAGGGATGATCTTGGGACAAGGGCTTGCCTGGTGATGAGTTTGCATTTCCTGTTAACTGAGACATATAATATTAAGGTCGAGTGGTTCCATCTAGCTGTGGCTGAGTAGACCTTGATCTTTCTAAATTCTGTCACTGTGCTACAGATGGATTGCATGCTAGCTATGAAAAATAAGATAAATATTTTACCATGCTATTAAAGCTTGGACCACTATCAAACACACATGCACATATACACTCATTGTCTCGTTTAAAAATTCATCTGCTTCATTCTCCCTACCCCAGGGAGGACAGGCTTCCCAGGCTCTTGAAAGCTGAATTTAGCCTGAATGCCCCGGCCTCCTAGGAAGGAAGTGGGTTGGAGCATCAGAACAGCCAAGAGCCTGCATCTGAGAGGGCACAATGACATGTCTCCGCGTGCCTGCGGAGAATTGGCCCAGCTGTGCGTGCGTGTGTGTGTGTGTATGTGTGTGTGTGTGCTGTACCCACTTGAAAAATGCTCATTCCAGCTTTCAAATGTAACTATTTCAGCCTGTGAGCATGATGGCATATCCCCACTCTGTGCCAGCAAAATGCCAAATAGTTGTTCCGGTCCAGGACAGCACACAGCAAGAGTCCTCCCTGCGCCCTGCCCCGCCCCCTACGTGCACTGTGGTCTTCGTCCATTGTGTTCAGGATGCTGACTGGGGTTCCGAACACAAAGCAAACCCCACTTTGTGAGCCGTGTTCCTTCTCAGACCTGAATGGGTCCCATTGTGGCTTATGGCTGTGAAGGCCCATTAATTCTTCATGGCCTGGGTCTGGGCCTTGCATCTGATTCAACAGCAAGGAAAATGGATTTGCCAAAACAGGCAGTAAGTCTTGGCACTGCATCTTCTGATGGCAGTTGCCGGGAAGTTCTAGAACTCGAATCATTTGGGGCCCATCTTTCAGTCATGACAGCTTGACTGGCTCCTTCGTGGATCTCGGAGACTCCCAGCTCCCCCACCCAGTGACCACGATCTCGGAGCCTCCCAGCTCCCCACCCCAGTGACCACTTCTCTGTAACTTGGCTGCCCCCTTCAGCCCACACACCATCCTCTTCACCAGGAACCCGGAGCTTTTCTGCATGGGGTTACAGTTTCTGAGTCAGCCAGAAGGTATCAAGGGCTCAGATCAATGGTTTAAGAAATGTCTCTCAAGTTCGTTGCTTTTCCTTCATTCGCGTGAGCACACTACTTAGCCCATTTAGTTCTCCATCGGGTAAGAGATGAGAATAAAGGGAACAAATATTAAATACTCTTTTCTGATGAATGCCTTACAACTGTTTTGAAGCTGAGCCTAAATCAAATCAATGTTTACATTTTTTTTTTTTTGATTGAGTACCCATGAGTGTGGGAGTCTACCAGATTCTTGTCCAAATGAGAGAGCCTCTCAAATGAATTCTCATTCCTCTGCTCCCTCCCACCTACCCTGGAGGTCGATATATGGCACTGTACGCTGTTTCCATGTTACCTCATAAAAATCTGCCTATCATTTGTTTTCTCGAAACATTTCTCTCTCTGCCTTATAGGAGTAAGTTATCATTGAAATATTAAAGAAGCTGAAGCGTCATTTTCTTTCAAATAAATGTCAAAGATGCTAACTTTTTTTGGTGAATCAGTAAGTCCTCTGTCTATCTGCATGTTGCTCATGATCCTGATAATACGGGGAAGATGGATTTTAAATACGAGTGGTTAGTATGTTAATCCAGACATTAAAAATAATTGGGAGGCTGAAGATTAGATTGTTTCTGGAGCAGCTGAATTTGCCAAGTAACAAGATAAAGGGCCTCAAATGGAATTAGTTTTTCAATCTCATAAACTCCAGGAATTATATACAGAATGGACTGGAAAGCAGATGAGTGTCTTGTGCTATTGCAAAGACTTCCATCAACAGTTGACTTTTTAAAAGATATTTGGTATTGCTGATGAAGATATGAATGAAAAACTCTCTTAATTGCCCTGGATGTTTTAAAATGGATAGCTACACTGAGAAGCAGTTTGACATATGCAAAAAAAACAAAACAAAACAAAAAAAAAACATGTTTTCTGGGTTCTATATGAGTGGAGACAATTTTAGTCTAAAATTAAAAAGTAATTTTTAACAAAAAATAACATAATAAAGATTGAAGCCTTGCTAACCATTTGCTCAGGGCATTAGGGCATTCTGGGTTGGTATTTCATAATAGTCAAACATTTTGGCATGAATAAAAACAGAAAGAATTTTAAACTCTTAGTGTATTCAAAGCCCTAATTCTGAACAATGGTGAACATAACACGTAACATTGCAAGCTTTCAGAAATAATGATGCTTATTCAACTGCCTTTCACGTTTTAATCAATGTTTGCGGAATTGACCTTAAACCTGAAATAAATTAAGAAAGTATTTTCCTTCTTCAATAAAAACTGCTAATGGCATCGAATATGAATCTCAGTCTTGATAAGATAGATATTGTCAAGGTCAACAAGATGTAGAGAAGAGAAGGATCACCTTGCATGCAAGAAACTTGCACTATGTAGACACCCATCTCGGTAATAATGGGGTTTTCTGATCGCGGATATCCAGATTGGCTTCCTACAGCTGGGATTCTCAACTTTCAATTCCTAAACGACGTTAGAGCAATCCAAAACCTTAAACCCCGTAATCTACTTGTTTTGTGTTCCCGTTTCTAATACACACACACACACACACACACACACACACACACACACACACTCACACACACATACCAGCCTCCGACATCACCATAGAGGAATTGTGTTTGGCTACTACTAACAAAATCCTCAAACAACAGTGGCTTAGACAAAAAGATGACTTTTCATCCATGCAAAATAAGTCCAAAGTTAGGCGATCCAGGGTCGGTATGGTACCCGCCACCGCCCTCGCCAACACACACACACACACACATACACACACACACACACAACGTCATCAACATCCTGACCTCTTTTTCTCCTTCTGTTCTGCCTTTCTTAGTGCTGGCTCTCATCCTCAGGGTCATTTCATGGTTACAAGGTAGTTGTTGCAGCCTCAGCCATCAAAGCCTTATTAAGAGAAGGAAAGAAGAAGGGGGGATGGGCAAAATGGTACGTGACACTTAAGGGGCTTTTTTAAAAGAGCTTTCCCAGGAATGCAACCCTGTGATCTCTCGGTGAAATCACAGTTGAGTCACGTGGCTGCAAAAGAGCCCAAGAAATGTGATGTTTTAGCTGAGCACTTTGCCCCCAAATAATAATGGGGCTCTGTTAGTAAGGGACGGGGAAAAGGAGTACTTTACTAGATAATCACAAGAAATAACCTTGCTTCTTCATTTATTGGAAAAAAGGAGA